CCATGTACTAGTTGAAGGTTCATGATCTATAATAGTTCCAGATTTATTGTTGTTATTAGGTGCAAAATCCCGAAATATCACTTTCTCTCCCAAGAAAAAATAAACATTGCTTTGCTCGATCTTTCGTTGATGATTACTAACGTCAAATATATCATTTGGCCTAACCAAAGCTAACCTGGTGCGTAATTGGCGTCCTAAAAATAATTCCGCTGGAGTAGCCTACGTAAGGTAGTGGATTGCGTAGTGCTTCGGTAAGTAAGCAAGAAGTTGTCAAATGGCATTCTTGAAAGTTTGTACAAATCTCTGTGCTTGTCCGTTTGATGCAGGGTGATATGTAGATACATAAGTGTAATGGATACCATTTTTCTTCAGAAAAGGTGTGTATTTAGCTGATTGAAATGGAGGTACATTGTCTGAAAAATATTTCTTTGGTAAACCATATCTTGAAAATATGCCACGTGAAGCATTAATTGTCGCTTCAGTATTAATTGTTGCTTCAGCATTAGTTGTTGGTTTCATTGGACAGTGGACATCGGGCCATTTAGAATAAACATCAACTAAAATCAGGAAATGCTGACTTACTTGAGTAGCGAAATCAATATATATGAGTTGAAATGGTCTGGAAGGCCATGACCAAGGAGTGAGAGGAACCTTTGCTGGATTATTACGAGTTTGTTGACATCTGTTGCAATTTCTGGCGATGCATTCAATGTCGGTGTCTATGTTGGGCCACCATACATAGCTTCTGGCTTGACTTTTCTTCTTCTTGACTACACCCAAATGAGATTCATGTAGTTCTTGGAGGTTTCTGGGAATGATTACTCTCATTCCAAAGAGCAAGAAGAAAGTAGGGCCCCAGGCTAGGATCTTGACTACCTTCCATCCATCCCGTTTCTGTTAAATGGCTTACCTTGGATGTTACTGGGTCAACTATATTTGATCTGGATATCTGAGTACTATGTGTGATAGGAAGTTTATCTAGACGTGAAGATATTGAATAGATAGTTTCTTCTACGTATATATCTGCAGTATGAGATAGCGGAAGTCTTGACAACTCGTCAGCTTTAGCTATATCTTCTGACTTCTTGTACTTGATATCGTATATATAGGATGGATGTAATAATGACCAGCGCTGGATTCTGGCTGCAGGAAGCACACAGGCGTGATACTATCTGGGCTAAGATCTTTAACAAAGATTTATGATCTGTGAAAAGNCGTAAACTTTCGTTCATATAGGTACATGTAGAACCTGGAAACACAAAAACTGATGGCTAAGGCTCTTTC